AATGGCCATTCAGATATTTTGTGCAGTAGGGAAACAGCTGGTAGTTGTTTTTGGTTTCTTTGGCCAGCTTGTTAGGTTATTTTATATGTCTTTACTTGGTGAAATCAATTTTTTAAAAAATGGTCCCTTTACATCAGCTCCTAAAATTTGGAAGGAGACGGTTTACTGATCCAAGATCTGGGACCCGCTGACCAACTCCAACCCCCTACCCACTTACCCTGCATGAACTGGACCTTCGGAGATGGGCTGCAGGAATCGTCACAGTCGTACCCTGGCAAGGGGCTCCTCCAACCTCTGACAGCAAGGCTCTCGTGTTTCTAGGGCCCACCCTCCCATCCTCAGACACCTTGACTCTTGAAGAAGCTCATTCCGTTGAACCGAAACCTACCTCCTGCTCATGTCTACTCACTGGTCCTAGATTCATTTTCAGAACCTTCCACTCTCCCTGCCTCTTGACAGCCATTTAGTGATGTGAAAGTGTGTGATTAAGGGACCCTAGATGCTTCCCTTCTCTGAGCTGAGTGCTCCTCTTCCTTCCTTGGAGGGTCTCCATCCTGCCTACCCCGCTATGCATGGGCTCCCCCAGGAGCTCAATAGGAGAGGCCGAGGAGTGCAGTTGATGGCTCTGGAGTCGAGACAGTCTTGCTATGATTCCTGGCTACACCTGGCTCTAGCTGTGTGACCTTGGACAAGTTACTTAAGCTCTCTGTGCCTCAGTTTTCAGTTTCCTCACTTCAAAGCAGAGATTGTTGTCACAGTTCCAGCAGCATTGTTGTGCTTTGAGGATAAAGTCAGTAAACACATGTTAAGCCTCAGAACAGTGCTTTGCACGTCTTGTGCTCAGCATGCGTCACCTAGGGTGTGTTTTGTGATCCTTCCCTCCCCCCTCCATCACCAGGTGATTGGTCCCAGGGGGTGCTTGACCCAAGCTGATCCAAGGAGCCTTTGCCAGGAGTTTTTAGACCTGGGGTGCGGAGAAAGGAGTCCAGTTTTTTCTCCATTAGCTGAAAGTGCAAGGTATAAAACCCAGCCATGAAGAAAACCAGTGTGCTGTGAAAGAGAAAAAAAGATGATGTCCAGAAAAAAGCAGAGACAAGAGACACAGAGGGAAGTTCTGGTTCCATTTGGTCCTAAAGATCTGGTCCATCCCAGCCCTTCCTAGAACCTCACTGTTTGTCTCAGTCAGCTAAGACACATAACCTTCCTGATTACATGACCAGTTAGTTCGTATCACTCTCATTGTACAGATGGGGAAACTGAGGTTCAAAGAGATGGACTGACTTGTATAAGATTTGAAGACCCAGAGAAGCAGAAGCAAGAGGAATTCAAGTCATGGACTTCTGGGTGTCTGCAGAGCCCACACTTCTGCCTTGCGCCATCCTGGCCCTTCTCACACCAAAGAATAAAACGGGGCCCTACCATCATGTAGCCTTAAGAATCGCCAAAGGGGGCTTGGGGCGCCTGGGTGGCTTAGTCGGTTAAGCGTCCGACTTTTGCTTAGGTCATGATCTCACGGTTCGTGGGTTCGAGCCCCGCGTCGGGCTCTGTGCTGACTGCCAGCTCGGAGCCTGGAGCCTATTTCAGAGTCTGTGTCTCCCTCTCTCTCTGACCCTCCCCTGCTCATGCTGTCTCTCTCTCTCTCTCCAAGAAATAAATAAAAAAAAAAAAAAAAAAAAAAAAAAGAATCGCCAAGGGGACTGAATGGCCACAACACCCAACACTGCAAGAGAAAATGCCATTCCACCGGCAAATGTGCCTCCATGCCTATTTCGTGGTTGGCACCGTGTGAGGGATAGGGATACGGAAATGACTCAGACGCAGGATGCAGTAGCAGCAGCGTGGAGAAGGAAATGATTAATCATGCCTGGTTTGGGCTCAGCGTTGACTCGTTTATCGGCCTGATTTTTAAGGGATCGGTGATGCTGGTGAGGAAATGCAGTTCAGGCCAAACCTCCCTTCCCACAGACGTGTGGGGTCTCAGGGTCCCAGTTACATAGCCATCCTCAGGGCAAAAGGGAGAAGGGCCAAGGGCTCTCAGGCCATCCTTTGAGACTGGCTACAAAGCTAGGCACAAGCTACCTGCTCACTGGGTATCTGCAGCTTCCTAGTCACAAGTAGCAGCTTCCAGGGTGCAGTCCTTGTCATGGTCTTGGACAGTCCAGGAATTCCCAAGTCCACGGAATCCATTTCTGCCAGTCCAGAGTTGGGATGCTCAGAGATGCAGCATCCACGGGCCCAGAGCCCTGTCCCCAGTGGGCAGGGGTGAGCACTGGGGAGTCAGGGTGAGCAGTGGAATGAGCTTGACTTTGGACCGAGCCATACCCTGCTGTGAACCTTAGCTGCGTCAGTTTCTGGCTCTGTTCCCATCAGCTGGTGATGTGCCCTTCCTGACACTCTCCTCATCACCTGTAAAATGGGGCTAAAACTCCTCCTCTTAACACTCTTTGTTTAGTTAGCTGAGGCGACTTCAGGTCTGTGTCGGGAGGAGACCAGGGCACCCCTGGAACTCCAGGGCAGAGGGCCACGTGAGCCTGGCACTAGGCCTGCAGAGCCGTCAGGAATCCAGACAGGACTCCTTCTCCACCTCCCCTCTTGTCTCTTTTCCCTCCGTGCTGGCTTCGTCTTTCTCCCTCTGCAGACGGGCTTTCTCCACTTACCTGGTACCCATGGCAAAAGCTGGCTGTCCCCATAGTTCACACACAGGTTTGTGTGTGACTGTCCCAGAGTCACTCGGTCTGCCTTCTGTCTTCCAGTCCCGATTCCAAACTCCTGGGAAAAAGAACGCAGCCCAGCCCGGGCTAAGGTCCACCACTGTAGTCTGGGGCACAGAGGGGAACGTCCAGGAAATGTGGGATCACAGAGCATTCCTGAGGATTCCCATGGGTAAGTGAGGAAAGGATACTTCTCAGAGCAGGGTTGCCCTGAGCTAGGCAGATCCCCTGAGTTACTGTGAGCGTTACATAAGACAATGAACATCAACCACTAACACCTAATAGACATGCCCTCCAAGGGAGAGTCTTAGGACAGATTCCTCAGAAGCACAGCTCTGGGGAGAGCGGAAGAGAAAAAGGGGAAAGGATAGAAGAATGCAGCCGCAGCCTGGGCCAAAGTGAGCTCTGTGCACCAGGCACCCCACAGAGTCAATCTCACATTGAGGCTGGGGGCTAGCCTTTTGTGCCCCTCGCCAGTCTGTCTCCAGGACAGGCAGGGGCCGGGGTGGGGAAAGAGGAGACTTCCATTTGGCTGAGGGCACTCTGCAAGACAAGGAGGCAGCTATGATAGCAGACATCGGGGCTGCTGGGAGGCAGTGCGCCAGCTGGGAAAGGGGATCTGGGACTGGGGGGTCCCCACACACCCGTTATGGGGAGCCTCATGCAAACATACGTGAGCACTAGCTGACTCCTGCCTTTATCTCACTCTCTTATGTGTGTAAGAGTAGTATTAATAACATCTTTATTTTGTGCTTTTTACATAACATGCGATTTTTCATATACTATAACTAGTACTACAAACATACCAATTACTATACAGATGGAACATGCAAAAATGTAATAAGTTCCATGGGGGATTTTTAAGGGCTACACATGACTTTTGCCTTACATGATGATTTTTGAAAAGTTAACTCCTCGCCCTTATTAAATATGACTCCACTGTAAGTGGTTGAGCACCTTCCCCCATCCCTCCCTAATCTCCCTCTTCCACGGGGTCACAGTGTTTGGTCCTGATGGGGGCACCAAGGGGAGCCTCCTGGCTCCAGTGGCTTCCTATCCCACTCGAAACACATCTAACCCCTCTCCCCAGCTCCACAGTGCTCACCCGACCTGACCCTGGCCTCCCTGTCTGACCATCAACCCTCAGTTCACCACCCTCCAGCCTCAGCGCCTTCATTCAGTTCCTCAGAGCCACCAGCTTTTTTCCATCTGAGCCTTTGCACGTGGTGCTTCTTTCCCCAGAATGTCTTCCCTCTGTTCTTGGCAGGGTTGGCTCCTCCCCTCTGTCAAGTTCAATTTAATGTCACCTGTCCAAGAGGCCAGCAGCCCTGATCCCTCTTTCTAAAGTGAGTTCAAATCACCCTGCCTGCTTGTTTCTTTCGTAGCCCTTGACAGTTTGTAATTGTTTGTTTGTTTCACTTGGTTTGTCTCTTATCACTAAGTTGTAAGCTCCATGATGTCAGAAGTGCTGGCACACAGTAGAGGCTCAGTAAGTATTTGTTGAATGCATGAATGAACGAACGAATGCATGAATGAATGAATGAGTCTGTTGCTATGCCCCAACAGCTTGCCTCAAATTCATCCTGCCCTTCCCATTGGCAGGAGAGAAAGTTCCAAAATAAGGATCAGTGCTCTCCTCAGAAGCCTTCCATGGCCCTTTCTTACCCAAGGAGTCACTGATCTTGCTTGAGCAGGCCAGTGTAGGACGTGAAATTAAAAGACCCAGGTTCAAGTCCTGCCCTTGCGCTTGCTAGCAATCCAACATTGCCCAAAAGGATTCACCTCTCTCTTTCTTAATTCCTTTCTGCACAGTGGGTGAAATACCACCTGCCCTTTCTCTTTCTTGGGTTGTCGAGAGATGTAGAAAACTCTTCACAGATGATTTTCAGCGTTAGGAGCACTGACTGTCAAGGGCTTTCACTGTCCAAGCCTGATCTTCTCCAGACACAAATGACCATTATTCTGGCCCCACCCCGCCACCTGATGCATCCTGAACTTCCTCCTGTACATTCATGCCTCGCTGCTTTCATTCAAAAGCTATGCTTTTCTTGAGAAGGCTCATTTCCCTGCCATCTTCATTTGTCCATATCCTGCCTGTCCGGGGAGGCTCACTCCTCCATGGCGTCTCCCCACCCATCCTCCACCCTCACGTCCCCAGGGCTCACTGCATCTTTGACGTCTGTGTTACGCTGGGGAATGTCTCCCTCCCTGCACTCCACCCTCCTTTCCTGGATCCAGATGGCTAGTCCCAACCTCACATCACACTCTGGAACAGACCGGCCCTGTGCCAGGCAGTGGGGCTTCCGGGAGGAGAGAGACCCCATCTCTGCCCACAAGAGAGGAACACCATCCTGTGGGATCTCAGGTACCAAAAAGCACTTGATAACTGATTAGCAGATGAGGAGAGCACAGTGGTGAGGTGCACTTCCACATTGAAGTCAGACATATCTGGCTTTGAACCTCAGGATGCACAGACAGAAACCTAACTACAATGATATAACTAACCTTTTTTTTTTTTTTTTCCAAATAGTAAGAAGTCCAAAGTAGGTCTTCCACGACTGGCTACAGAGGCTCCATGGCACATGGGGGGCGGGAGGGCTCAGGCCTCCCTTAGATTCCACTCTGCTCTCTTTACCATGTGCCACCATCTTTCTTCTCTGTACCAGTTTTTTCACCTATAAAATGGCAATAGTACCTTCCTTATAGGATTGTTGTAATTATTAAGTAAATCAATATATACAAAGAGGTTGGAACAGTATCTGGAGCACATTAGGCGCTCTATTAAGTGTTAGCTATCACTCCTCTTCCTCTTCTTCCTCTGCCCTCATGCTGAAAAAATGGCTGCTGCCCCTCGAGGCATCACATCCTCATCCCTGGAAGGAAGGGAGGAAAGGCAAAGCACATAAAGTGAGTGATGGCTGAATCCATCTGTTGTTTTTTTTAATTGAGATGAAGTTCATATAACTGAAAATAAACCATTTTACAGTGAACAAACCAGTGGCATTTAATATAGCCACCATGTTGTGTAATCACTGCCTATCTAATTCTGAAATACTTTTATCACCCCAAAAGGAATCATTAACTTTTTGTTTTTGTTTTTTATTTGTGAGAGTGCATGCGTGGCGAAGGGGCAGAGAGAGAGGGAAACACCGAATCTGAAGCAGGCTCCCAGCTGGGGAGCTGTCATCACAGAGCCTGATGTGGGCTCAAACCCACCAAAACTCCACCAACGTGACAGCAGGACCCAAGCCAGAAGTTGGACGCTTAACTGACTGAGCCATCCAGGCGCTCCAAAAGGAATCATTAAGCAGTTCCTCCCATTCTTCCTTCCTCCCAGCTGCTGGCAACCCCCAATCTTCATCTTGTCTCTGTGGATTCCCCTCTTCTGCATAATTCCATCTTTTTGAAAGAGCTTTCCAGGAAGCCCTGCCCAACTGCTTCTGCTCAGATCTCATTGGCCAGGAATGCGTCTGATTGCGGCGGGGCATATTGCTGCGCTCACACACAAAATAAGCCTGTCATTCAACATTCTGATACTTACTGAGCACCTACGTCCATATTTTACTAATTCTCACACCCATGAATTCTTATTCCATTTTAATTTTTCCGCAAAAGAATTGTCTTATATTGATAAAATCTCGTTTTTAATGAAAAATAAATACAGAGTATGTGTCAGGCACTGTTCTAGGTGCTGGGGAGAAATCAGTACATGAAACAATGAATTTTCCCAGTCGTGCAGAGCTGACATTCTATGGTAGGGAGATAAACAATTAAACGTGATAAATACATGAATTATTTAATGTGTTAAAAGATGATAAATGCTTAGTAAGGTCCATGTGGGGGATGGACCAGGGATGGTTGCTATATTCATGTATGAATTATCTATTGCTGTGGCACAAAATTACCCCCCAAACTGAGCAGTTAAAACAACAAACATTTATTATCTCAGTTTCTATGGTTCAGGAATCCAAGAATGGCTTGGTTAGGTCATTCTGGCTCAAGGTCTCTTACAAGGCTGCAGACGAAGATGTCAGGTGGAGCTGTGGATATCTAAAAAAGCTTGACTTGCACCCAAGGGGGGTGGGGGGGGGCTGCTGACAAACAGCCTCTGCTCCCTGCCAGGGAGGCCTCTCCATAGGGCTGCTGGATGTTTCCAAGACATATCAGCTAACGCTCCCAGAGCAAGTGATTCAAGAGAGCCAGGAGAAACCCACAATATCTTTTATGATCTAATCTTGGAAACGGCATTGCCAATTCTGCTCTATTCTTTTTGTTAGAAGTGAGTCACTGCTTCCAGCCCACATTCAAGGAGAGGGAAATTTAAGGAGGTGCCCCCCAAATTTTGGACATCTGGGGAAACCACCGCAATGAACCAGGTCTCTCCCTTCCAACTCTGGCTCCAGCACACACAGCTTGTGACCTCAGCCAACCTCCCGAGTGATTTTCTAGGCCTCAGTTTCCTTCTTTGTCAAAAAGGGTAATAACTTCTGCTCTGCCTTATTTATTCACTCAACAAATATTTAAGTCTTTTCTATGTGCCAAGTACTGGTCTGGGGCCTCGGAAGTACCCTGCAGAACAAGAGAACCAAGAGCTCTGCTCTCAGGGAGCTGAGCTGCGAGTGAGGAGACGTTCTTTGGAATAAAGCCAAGTGACAATAAGCACTGAGAAGCAAAGCAGAACAGGGTCAGGGGATAGAGAGGGACAGAGGGTGACCTGGGAAGGTCTCTATGAGGGGCTGTTTTTTATTTTTATTTTTGAACTTTTTTTAATGTTTATTTACTGTGAGGGAGGAGGGGCAGAGAGAGGGGGAGAGAGAATCCCAAGCAGGCTCCATGCTGACGCAGGGCTCCGTCTCATGAACCATGAGATCATGACCATGGCCAAAATCAAGAGTCGGTGGCTTAACAGACTGAGCCACCCAGGCATATGAGGGACTGACTTTTAAATGGAGATCTGAACAAAGTGAAGGAGTGACTCATGTGGGTGTCTCAGGGAAGAGCATTCCAGGCAGAAGGATTAGCAAGAGCCCTGAGAAATGAATGTGCCTGGGTAGTCCAAGGCAGAGCGAGGAAGCAGTTCATGGAAATGCCGGGAACAAATGAGGGCCACCGAGAGCAGTGCTTCTCAGCCTAAGTTAGATCATGTCACCCATCTGTCAAAGCCCTTATGAGCCCTAACAAAGACCTTACAAGCCCCATGTGATCTTCCTCCCTCCTCTCTTTCCTCCTCCAACCTCCTCCAACCCTAAGCTCCCTCTGCTGCTGCCACAAGCCCTCCTGACTGTCACTCACACCTACCATGAGGCTTTACCCTAACCTGGGGGCTCAGAACCATCTTCAGGGCTTATTAAAATGCCACTCTTCGAGCCCCAGTCCAGTTTCTGATGCAGAAACTGATTCTGGTCTGGGGCAGGTCCTTGGTGGCGGTACTGCCCCCGTCTCTGGCACATTTCGTTCATCCCCTCTGTTGGTATGGCTCTTGGCCCAGATCCCCTAAGTCTTTGCCCAAATCTCACAGTGAGACCTACCATCGCTGTCCTGTGCAATGCTACAAGTTGCCCCTGTACCCCAATCTCTTCCTGACTCCATTTTTCTTTTTTTTTTTTTTCTTTTTCCCATAGTACCTACCACTTTCTAACATCTGGATGATTATTTTCCTTTTTGACACTTTCCTGTATATCCCCAAGTAACCAGACTCCATGAACCCCTGATGACCCCATGGGCCCCCCAGAGATCTGCTAGCCTGCACATTCATATACAGCAGTTTGTGGCCGTGATGTCTGTAGCTTTCATTAGCTTCTCAAAGTCTTACTTGATCCCCAAAGCGCCAAAACCACTAGTCGATCAATGTCTGGCATAGAGTAGATGCCCGATAAATATTTGTTGACTAGATTAAAGAGCTTTTTAACATTATTCACACACATTTTCTTTCTTTTTTTAAGAAAATTGTTTAGTGGCACATGGCTCCCAAATGTTAACATCTTTAGATCAGCGATGTCAGAATGATGGGATTGCTTTTTGAAAACATAAATTCTTGTGATTCAAAGCTACCCTCATGGAGTCTGAGTTAGGAGGTATAGGTGTGGCCAGAGATTTAGTATTTTTCAAAAGCCCTCCCACCGTCCCCAACTTGACACACATCTCCAGGTAAATCCCAGGTCCAGCCAGGCTTAGGAATTTCTATGTGAAGCATTAATTGGAGAGTTTCAGAATCAATTTCACTGTGCAGTTGTTGCACTTTGCATAAAATATGATCACACCCGCGGTCACTAGTGACCTTGCCACAAGCCCTCAGGGTGACCAGGCAGGGATTACAATCTCCCTTTCACTGAGCAGAAAACTGAGGCCCTGGGGAATCAAGGGACAGCCCCCTCGCAACACCCAGCTGTCACAGTGCTTCCCAGTGGTGGGGATACAACGAAAACCTGGGCTTCTGCCTCCCCTCTGCATCAGCTGGATAAACCCAAGTTCCAGGAAGTCCCGAGGACACTACCAGGGGAGAAGAGCCAGAGAAGGGAGGGGTAGAGTGGCAAACAAGCAAAGGGCAAGGTTCGGGTGGCTCTCTCCTGGCCACCTGGAGAAATGCCAGCTGCTTTAAGGACACAGGCATTCACATGCTAGCTCTGGTTATGCATGACCCCAGGAGGCCCACTTCTCCTTTGTGTGCCTCCATCTCCTTATCTGCAAACCACTGCTAATCCATGCCCTGCCCCCATTAAGAGGATTGTGGGGGGCGCCTGGGGGGCTCTGTCAGGAAAGGGTCCAACTCTTGATATCAGCTCAGGTCATGGTTTCATGAACTGTCATGATCAAGCCCCAGGTTGGGCTCTGTGCTAACAGCTCAGAGTCTGGAGCCTGCTTGGGATTCTCACTCTCCTCTCTCTCTCTCTCTCTGCTCTTCTCCTGCTTGCTCTCTCTCTCTCTCAAAATTAAAAATTAAAAAAAAAAAAAATCCTTGTGGAATGTAAAGCACTCCAAACATCCAAGTTGTTAATAGTATATATCAAGGGAAGGTGCATGATCCCTGACTCAGAGGCTCTTTAGGGACAGAACTAAATCCAGCCTTTCATTCGAGGTACATTTTTGAGCACCTACTATGTGCCAGGCACTGTACATGTCCTGCTTTATGTAACCCTCACAACAACCCAGAAGTGTCAATGCTGCTATTGCTCCCATTTTGTAGATGGAGAAACTGAAGCCAGGTGAATGCGTTTCAATTCATTTGATCATTTGTTCATTCATCCACCCTTTACTTAAAAGCCTATTCTGAGCCAGGCTCTGGGCCAAGTGCTGAGAATCGAAGATGAACAAGTCCTTCCGGAGACGTGCCCATAAATTACTTTAATAACAACTCAGTACATGCTTCCACCGACAAGTAAGTGGGAGCCGGTGCGGGAGCCAGTGGTCATGGGGAACAGCAAGTTAACTTTCCGTGGGATCCTGTGCAGGTAAGGTGCATGTGTCCTGTGTAGAGATGGCAATCACAAAGCCAATGTCTCACTTCTGTTAAGACTTTGGTGTGTATTCCCAGGAACCCCCTTCCACCGCTGAGCTTTGGTTTCCATCTGGAAAATTAAGAGGTTGGGCTTGTGACCCTACAGCTCTGGGGACCTAAACCTTTGGCCCCTCTCAACCCACCTTCCGGTCAGTTCCAGTTCGAGCTTGGCCCCAGCCAGTCCCAGGTTGAGCAGGGGACAGTCAGCCCAAATCCCTTGAAAAGTGCCAAACACCCCTCCCCAGGGCAGCTCTGGTAGCCTGAAGGCACAGCCTCCGGGCCCAAAGGGCGAAGCTCCGGGAGGGGCGGGGCTGAAACCTGGAGGAGGGGCCCGGCCCGCCCAGGAGCGTCCCATTCGGCCAATGAGTGCCTGGGGGCGGGGAAGCTCCGCCTCCGGTATAAGTAGGTGCTGACTCTGGGGACGCGGCGCCGAGGTCTCAGAGCCCGAAGCCGTGGGTGTTTGGTTTTCTAGCTGCCGGGAGCTGCGACCACGGGGCGCGCGGGACCTGTGAGTTCGGTGCGCCCTGGGCTGGGCAGTAGCACGGGTCGGGTGCCGTTTTCCTTGGCCCGGCTGGGCTGTGGTGAGGACACGGGACGCGGATCCCTAGCCGCGGAGGAAGAGCTGGCCCAGACCCGGGGACGCCCGCGCTGACCATCCGTCCCCCGCCCCTGCAGGCATCCGGCCCGCAGTCATGGCCGACCACCTGATGCTCGCCGAGGGCTACCGCCTGGTGCAGAGGCCGCCGCCCGCCGCACCCTCCCACGGCCCCCACGCGCTCCGGACGCTGCAGCCGTACGCGGGCCCGGGCCTGGACAGCGGCTTGCGGCCGCGGGGGACACCGCTGGGCCCGCCGCCGCCCCCACCCGGCGCCCTGGCGTACGGGCCCTTCGGGCCGCCGCCCGCCTTCCAGCCCTTTCCGGCCGTGCCACCGCCGGCCGCAGGCGGCGCGCACTTGCAGCCGGTGGCGACGCTGTACCCGGGCCGCGCGACCGCGCCCCCCGGCGTCCCGGGAGGGCCCCAGTGCCTGCAGCCGGCGCCTGGCGCCCCGGCCCCACCGCCGCCCGCGCACGCCCTGGGCTGCATGGACGCCGAACTCATCGACGAGGAAGCGCTGACGTCGCTGGAGCTGGAGCTCGGGCTGCACCGCGTGCGCGAGCTGCCCGAGCTCTTCCTGGGCCAGAGCGAGTTCGACTGCTTCTCGGACTTGGGGTCGGCGCCGCCCGCCGGCTCGGTGAGCTGCTGAGTGCGGCCGGGCGCCTGCCTGGCGCGCCGGAGAGGAGAAGGGGATCTGACTGCCCGCCTGAGTCCGCACCCTGCGCCTGGGCCCCGCGCGCACCCTCCGTGAGGGTGGAGGCGGCGGGTCAGTGCACAGAGCTTGACGCCGCGCTGGGACGCCTGGCCTCACTCCAGGCCCTGCCTCTTGCAGGCTGACAGAGTAGCTCCACCTCTCCGACCCGGAGCCTTGGCGGTAAAAGTGAAGGGGACAGGACCCCCTTTCGGACTCCTGGTTCTTGGATTCTCTGTCCTCTCGGAATCTCCCTTACCCCACCCCCCAATCTGAGCCATTCCAGGCTGCTGCCTGACACCCCTTCTCTCCTTGTGCAACCCTCTGCGGTCACTGGGTCCCTGGAGCCGCCCATCCACCGGGCCTCCACCCCGCTGCCTGGGCCCCTAAGGTCGCTTGCCCCCCCCGCCCCCCACCTTGGGGAGGAGAAGATTGTGCAGCCCTGACCCCTGCACAATGGAGCAGTGCCCCACCTGGCCTCCAAAACCAAAATAAAACTGGGTCACTTTACAGTCTTGCGTTTTCATTTCTTTATCACTTCAACAACCCTGCACTATATTTGGCTTCCAGAGTCCTGAGGCCGTTGGGGACTCTGGGTGGGATGGAAGCCACAGTCCCTGGCAGTGCCCACGAGAGGAAATTGACAGTTTCTTTCAAAAATATCTGTGAGTTGTGCAACTGTTACATCACGAGCTGGAAGGCAGAGGCTGCCTGGTGGTGGAGTAACCCACAGGCACTAGGCTGGACTTCTCAGCCCCCAGAAGGGGTGGGAGAGCTTGGTGGTGCTGCCCTCACCTGTTTGCTCAGGGCAGCACCAGGCCAGAGGGAAGCTGGGTGGCACCTGACAGTTCAGACAGTTCTGGCTTTGAATCCCGGTGCTCTTCCTTGGCCAAGTCACCATCCAGTCCAGAGGACGGAGTGGTTTCAGCTGCTTGGGGGCGTGTCAGTTCAGGCTTCAGGGAGGCAGCGACACTTGAAGCAAACACAGCCTTGAAGGGTGAGTACAGCTTTAGTAGCTGGAGAAGGTGACATGGAAATGAAGAGCCCGTTCAAAGGCAGGAAACCTAAAAGCACAGGGCATGCGTGGGGTCTCTCGAAGGGACAACAAAGGTCTCATGGCTTTACAGTGACTTTGTGAAGTAGGCGCAGTCCAGCCTGTGAGTTCACTCAGGGTGTACTGTGTCACCATCGGCTCTGGAGCCACCAGGACAGGCATGGAGTGGGCGACAGGACGTGTTAGGCAAATGAATCAAGGGCTCCCCTAAGATAATGGGGCTTTCCGGGACAGGCTGGGGAGGAAGGACAGTTAGGCTTTTGGAAACGGGACTGCCCTGACTTTGGCTCAGGTCGTGATCTCACGGTTCTTGAGTTCAAGTCCCACATCAGGTGAGTTCGAGCCCTGCTTTGGGGAAACAGCCCTGCTTTGAGTGAGCCCCACTTCTCTCTCACTCTCTCTCATGCTCTCAGTCTCTCTCTGTCTCTGCCCCTCCATGGATTCTCTCTCTCTCTCTCTCTCTCCCTCTCCCCCCCTCATTCACTTGTGCGCACTCTTTCTCTCTTAAAACAAAAACAGGAGATTGGATTGGGATGGGAAAGTCTGCCACTTGCCTGGAACTATCCTGATTCCTTTCTCTATGATCCTCAGTTTTCCCACTAGTAAAATGGGGCTAATATATGGGCCCTACTATTTCACAAGGCAATAAGGCTCACAATAAGTGAGGAGCAAATTCAGGGATGGGTTAAGAAGCAGCTGGTAAACACCAAAGTGCTCTCCATATGGAAGAGATTACAATGAAAACCCAACACCTGCCTCTTTGTAGAGTCAAGGCAGGGTGGAGGGAGGTGTAGGGGGAGTCCAGCTGCTGAGCTATTTCCAGCCCCCCATCCTTCCCAGAGGGGCTGCTGACAAGTTGGACAGCAGACAGGTGGACAGCATAGAAGGTAAGGCTGGGGCAGTCCATCACTGGGATCTCCAAATCCCTGATACCCTTCAGAGGAGCCTTTGGAGGATAGTGTCCTTGCCAGCACGTAGAGGCTTGTATTCTGACAGCCTCAGGATCCAGTTCCAGAAGTGACTCTTACTAGCTGCCTAACCTCAACAGTGAGTGACCTTGCCTTCTAAGTCTTGGTTCTCCTATGGAGATCACACCACCTTCCTGTGGATCCAACGTGGATCTTTCACCTCTTCTCTGGGGCTACTTCCTAAAGCGCCCTGTTGCCCTTGGGCTTGTGGATTTCACTCTCATACCCCGCCTGGGCCTTTGGGGTTGGGAGTCAGGCTCCCTCAAGGTTGGGAACTGAGCTGTGGCACAGACAAGCCATTTTTCCATCTTTTTTTCCCCTTTCTATTCAGATGAAAGTTTCCCTGGGGCTGAAGTCCATTATTGTGAATCATCTTTTCAACGATGATTGGATTTCATCACAAAGTAGGTTTTTTTTTCCCCAGGACTTCTCTTGAACTCATCTATAAAATGGAAATGCTAATAGTATCTCTCGCAGGGCTGTAGTGGAAATGAAATAAATCAATTCACATAAGGTGTTTCGAACAGTGTAGTTTGTGGTTCATCTTCCCTGAGCCTGGGCTTTTCGGGGATACCTTTATACTAGAGTCTTTAGAAAGGCTGTGTTTTAACCCACTAGTGAAGGGTTTCTCCGACAGTAACCCTGTTGCAGGTTGGGGCCTCCAGGAACCAGGGTCTGATGGTGTTTAGCTTGCAAGGAATTTCTTAAGGAGAGCCCTAAAGATCAGCAGCTGTGGAAGGGAAGGGCTGGAGCAGATGTGAGCAGAGAGAGCTACAAAGGAGACCCGACCAGAGCCTTGGCCAGCCCCATGGGGAGCTCCAGCAGCGGTTGACCTTGGGCAAGGCAGCTCTTTGCTGCTGAGCAATCCCTCTGGGAGCTGGCAGGGGACAGCTGTCTGCAGGGCAGCTGCCCCAGTGGCCAGGACAATTTATGAAAAGGGGTCGGGGCAGCACATCACAGCGTCCACACAAGCACAGGTGGGGACAAGGTGAGGCTGACATCATAAGAGCTATAACAGCAAGAGCCTCCTTAAATTTGTGCTCTGGGTGTCTGTTTGCCTCTCCTTCATCCCAAGCCTGATTGGTACCTGCCCTATTAGAGTGGCAAAAAATTTTTTTGTACAGAATATCAACTTTACAGGGTTGGTGTGATGAGACTCTGTGTTAAGTACCTGGTAACATGGCAGAAATAGAGAGCCACTATCACCATCATCATCATCATCAGTGTGCCGGCTCAGCTAAGTGTTCAACAGTCATTGATGAATAAATTAAACGAACAGTCGGATCCTAGTTTTTCCCAGGCAGCTTAGGCCGTTCAGCTGATTACAAAGTAATCCTCTTGAATTCCTAATCCATTGTTGCCTAACCCTTTACGCCACCCCGCTGTTAGCAGTGCTGGGTCAGGATCACAGAGTCCATTTGTCGAGTGCCTCCTGTGTGCAGGCATGATGGGAACTAATGGCACCCAGTAGGTGCCCTTTCTTTTCCGTGCTCTCCTTTAACCTCCACCCAACCCTGTGAATAACACCACTGGGCACTTTTACCCCCATTTCAGAGGTCAGGGAATCGGGGCTCAGAGTGAGTCTAGAATTGCTTTTCCAGGTCATAGCACCTCACTAAGCGCTGGGGAGAGTATGCCCACTCTGGTACTCCAGGGCCCCCCAGGCTGGGGCTGACCAAGATCTTGAGCCTGAGCAGAACAAGAGCAGAGTCCCAGACCTGGTTCTGCCACTTCACGGCCCTGGGATACAGAAGTTATGAGCCTCTTTGGGCCTCAGTTTCTGTACAACGGGGATGCCAAGTCCCATTGGCATGTGTGCAGGGATTCAGATGAGACTTGATTTCTGCGAGCACATTGCAAATAGTCCAGTGCTGCTTGGTTGGGCTGAGTTGGGGGTGAACAAGCATGCATTTGACTCCAGGCAGCTGATCTGGAGAGAGACCTGCGCGCCCTGGCACGTGAGATGCGGGCCAGCCCCCGGAGCACACAACATAGAGTCACATGCAGGGGGTGGAGGGTGGGGTCCAGGCAGGTGCTGCTAAGCAGCTCAGGGTCTGGGAAGTCCTGAGAGCTGATGGTGATAACAGGGTAGGGGTGAGTGTCAACCTGGAGAGGACACCCAGGTGAAAAGCCCAAGGTCCAAAGTCTGCCGGGGCAGACAGGAGAAATAAAGCCACTCTGAGTTCAGGGCTCTCATGGGCCAAATGGAGATATCACCGGCTTCTTGTGAGGATGAAGGTGATGTCAGGTCTGTGCCCCCTGTGAGCTGCTCGGATGCCGGGGATCACGACCACAGGGACGAGAAGGAGACAGCCTCATCCCAGCCAGCTTCCAGCCACCCTCCACCCTCCGCTGCAGCCCCCTCCAGCTCCTGATGCCTCTTAGACTGTGCCTGTGCTGTTTCCTTGGCCTGAAAGACCCTCTCTAGCGCCCCCACCTGCAAACGGCCTGTTTCACCGCATATCAAGGTTGATGAGGAGTCTTTCCCCCAGACTGTGAGGCTCTGAGGACAGAACCTGGCTTCCACCCACGTCTGGCTACGAGTGCGTGTTAGAAAGTGCTGGAAGGGCTGCTTCCTGGCCTGAGCTGGGAGCTGAGGCTGAAAGAGGGTCCAGGCCAGAGTGTGAGATGGAGTTGGGACCACTTGTGACAGCCCAACCATGAATTTGGGACCTGAGGCACGTTATTTGAGTGCTCTAAACTCCGGGCACCCAGGTGGCTCGGTCTGTTAAATGTCCAACTCCTGATTTTAGCTTAGCTCATGATCTCACGGTTCATGAGTTCAAACCCGGCATCAGGCTCTGTGCTGACAGTGTGGAGCCTGTCTGAGATTCTCTCTTCCCCACCCCCACCCTCCCTCTCTCGAAAAATAAACAAACTTTTTTTTTAAAAAGTAAATGCTCTAAACTCAGGAGCTGGACGACCGCATTCCCCACCCCTCCTTTCTCACAGGCGCTAGAAGCCAGTGAGGCTCGACTGAGGGAGGAGGGCTGGAAAACGTACTGCTTCTCGGCATGTGGGCCGCAGGCTTGATTGCATGTCCCCCCTCAGGCTTCACAACACCTCCCAGAGGTGGCTGCAGTTACCGGCCTCATCCCAGTCTCTTGGCCTCCTTCCAGGCAGCTGAGGCTCAGGGAGGTCAAGCAACCTATTCAACAATGCACAGGACTCTTGGGAAGAGGTTCTTATCATCAGCTGGATATTGACATCAATAAGCATCAAGTCCAGATCTCCCCCACGGAGGAGGGGCGCAGCAGGGACGAGACAGAGAGCCCTGTACAGCTCATCAGAGGGTGCTCTCCAGGCGGACTTGCACCCTCGCCTCGTCCTGGTGAAAAGTTCCACCGGTGGGCTGTGCCAGAAAGTTGGCACACCCAGTCAATTGCCACATCTTAGCAGCAAGCCCACCCTTGGCACCCAGCCCTACTCTGGTCTGGCAGAGACTATGAGTCAAGTATTGTTTGCTTGTTTTAAAACAAACACATGTTTT